TTGGCAAAAGCCCAGACCAGAAACACCACCTCACTATCCATCTTCACCAGCCCCTGCCTCCCACCGCAGCCAGAGTGGTCCTGGGCTTCTCCCAGCTTTTTTTCCTAGGTAGGCAGAGCCATCTTTTTGGTACTGGTCTCCATTTGAATTGAAATCATACCCATCTATGCCTGATGGTTGCATTCACATTTGTGTCCCTCCTGGGCTGCTAGCCCAGGGACCAGGTCTCCCCAGTGCTTGCCCAGGGCTTGGCACCTGGTGGCTCTCAACAGTGTTGTAAGGAACAGATGGCAATGTTGCCCCTTTCCTATGGTTCTATTGGTGATGTACTGACACACGAGTACAACAGAAAATGGCCTTAGTAAATAGCACATTAGTAAAGGCACCCAGCATGCACCTGGTCCTTAGCTTCTCAGAGCAGCATGTTGGGCTGACTTGATTGTTCTTACACTACAGATGAGAAAACAGAGCTCAGGGTAAGGAAATTACCCAGGAGCGCACTGCAGCTCAGCTCAAATCCACAACTGGCTGAATAAGAAAAGGAGGGAAGGAAGGAAGGAAGGACAAGAGGACAAACCTAACCCAGGGTTTCTTCCATTTCTGCCTGGCTCTCTTATCCCTTTGACTTCTGAATTTCAGGAACCTTTACACCAAGGCACAGTTCAGTTTGCAGATAGTCTACAGAAGATAAGCAGTCTGGAAACCCAGTCTTCCATCCCGGCGACGCCAAAGCTTAGGTCATCCTTTCTTCTGTACAGTCTTAGCCATTTCTTTCGTTTGTTTTAGCGATTCTATATTATTATTATTTTCTGTGGTGCTGGGGATTGAGCCCAGGGCCTTTTTATGCTAGGCAAGTGCTCTGCCATTCAGCTGTGTTCCAGGCCCTTTAGAGTTTTTTGGTTTTTTTTTTAAACAGAAGTCATTGCTCCCACCCTCACATATCTATGATGGTGTGTGTGTGTGTGTGTGTGTGTGTGTGTGTTTGTGCGCATGCGCGTGTGTATTTCCCATGGATTTGTTGTTGTTTATATGTCATATTTCAACTTGAACAAAAGGTCCAAGAGGTCACTTCTGACATTGTACAGTGTCTATCATAGCTGTGTCCAGCACAGTGCTTTGGTATGAAGTGAAGCAAGAAGAACCAGGTCACTGGGGCTGGGCACTTTAGAGCAGCCCCTCTTTGATTTGCCCTTTGCCTCTCTCTTCCCAGTTGGAGAAATTCCAGTCTAAGAGAGGCTGGCCAGCCAGATGGATTGCTTCACCCTAATCAGGAATTTCAGCTGTTGATTTCCCAGCCATGGTACAAAACACAGGAACCCCTTGTGTTCATTGTGACCCACTTCCTTTCTTGCTGGGCCTGCTCTGGGTGGAGGCTTAGGGCTCAGTGGCTTCTCTTGTTTTCACAAAAGGAAAATAATCTCCCTGTCATCCTCCTGGCTTGACCAATAGGCTTTCCTGGCAGCATGTCCCAAGGGAAGAAAATGGAGCACTGATCGTCTTAGAGTGAGATTCAAAGATAACCTAGGAGAGCAAGCGGACTAGGATGGGAAAGCACTGGTTACGATTAGAACGCTATTTATATGAGAGGGGTTGACGGGGATTCATGCTGGCCCAAAGGCCTGCGCCCTATCTGGGGTCTGGCCTAGGATGTACTGTACAAGGCAACTTGACATTTTGTTTTTATGGTTTCCGAGTTTTGTCTTCTGATAGACAGGCAGCAATGAGTGTCTGTGAAGAAGAGCTCCTACGTGTCACCATGGGGCATGTGACAAGTATAGAACTGGAGTAGAGGATGTCGCTAGTCCAAACGGGATGACTTGATCACTGCGTAGAAAAGTACTGGGCCATTGGGTGTGGTGACTCATGCCTGTAATCCTAGCTACTCAGGTGGCTGAGATCTGAGAAGTGTGGTTTGAAGCCACCCATGCAGGAAAGTCTGTGAGAGTCTTATCTCCAATAAACTACTCAGACAAATCTGGAAGTGGTGCTGTGGATCAATTGGCAGCGTGCTAACCTTGAGCAAAAAAGCTCAGGGACAGTGCTCAGGCCCTGAGTTCAAGCCTCATGACCAACAAACAAACACAAAGCATAGTGCCTAGGACTCTGACTAGACTGGATCAAGTACAAATGAAGGGAATTACACAGAATGAAGTACTGTCCTTAAGCCAAGAGCTCGGGCAATTCCTAGATGAGAAGGTGAGGTTAGGTTGAGCAAGGAGTGGGAAAGAGGTTTTGAGAAATGCCTGAGGAAGCCAGAAAGTCTTTACTATCTTATGCCAAAGAGAAGAAACCCAAAGCAGCTCTGAGTACCTGCACCTTGGCCAATGCCAACAAGGCAGTCAGGTGGCTGTGCAGAAGAGTAGAGCAAGCCAGCTGGGAGAGCCTCCAGCCCCCACAGCACTCCATGGTACCCCCCCCCAACTCTACTCTCAGCTTGATCTGCCCAGTTCTATGGAAAGAGCAGCAGGGGGATTCAGCTCTGATGAATCACATCTCAGAATCAGAGCTTTCCTGCACTTTGTAGTGAGTTAAGACAGGGAATGATTGCCTTTCTTTTAAAAATTATTCTCTTATCATTCACTCATTCATTTACTTACTTTGTGATGTTGAGGATGGAACTCAAGGCTTCATGTACACTAGGCGAGTGTTCTATCACTGAGCTATTCCCCAACCCCTTTTTCTAAGTCAAACTGATATTGGAAGGTAGAGGCAGAAGGAGATTAAAAAAAAATTTAGGAGATTCGGTGATGGCTCATGCCTGTAGCCTTAGCTACTCAGGAAGCTGAGATTTGAGGGTCATATTTTGAAGCCAGCCCAGCCAGGAAAGTTCACCAGACTCCTATCTCCAATTAATGAGCAAAAAGCCGGAAGTACAGGTGTGTCTCAGGCACTCCAGCCTTTAGGTAAAAAAGCTAGAGATCAAGCAGTGACTCACACCTGCAATCCTAGCTACTTAGGAGGCTGAGATCTGAGGATTATGATTCAAAGCCAGCCAGGGCAAGAAAGTCTGAGAGACTCTTATGTCCAATAAACTACAAAATGCTGGACGTAGAGCTGTGGTTCAAGTAATAGACCCTGAGTTCAAACCTCAATACTGTCATACGTGCACGTGCACATGTGCATGGGCATGTGCACACGCACACACAGACACAGACACGCACAGGTTCAGGAGACTGGGATGAGGCACTAACTTGTGCCCCTGCTTTCTCTAAAAAAAAAAAAAAAAGCATTCACTGCATCAGTCTAGCGCAGGGCCGTCGAACATGGCAGCTTGATAGACATTTATGCTTTCATCTTTTCAGCCTTCTGTCTAGCAGCCAAAGAGATCTTTCTAGTCTCGTGATGTAGTTTGAAAATGTTTTGAGTGCTACGTTCACTCCTGGAAAGTACAGGGGTGAGCAGGGAGGAAAGGCCCACGCTTACACAGCCTGGATGGTACAGGAACGGAACGTTCTCCAGCATCGTTGGGGGTGGGGTGCCTTTACTGCAATTTATGGAAGAAATGAGGACTCAGACAGCCCAGATGCCTGGCCCAGAATTATGCCACAAGCAGACGGTGAGCTGAGACTGCTCTCCCCTGGTGGCTAGGTTCTCAGCGTCTGAGTACACAGCCTGGGCCACTTGGACAGTACCCCCCCCCCCGCAGTAACTCACACTGTCATTCAACCAGAGTGCCAGAGCACCTGTCCCCCAGGGCCTCAGAGTGCCCATTGCACCTATTTCTAAAGAGGCGGCACAATGCACAACCTTCCACCTTTCAACGCCTCCAACCCCTGGCTCTGTACAGAGCTGGCCAGACGCCGACGGGGCTGGGGAGGGGGGAGCAGGGGGGCAGAGCTCCCTAAAGGAGGACAGATGGGCAAGCTGACCTCGGCACCCAGCCAAGCTTCCAGCAAACTTTTTTGTTTGGCAGCCAAACATCCAGCTTTAGTCCCCCCCCCCATCACCTCGTGGGCTGCCACTGCCCCTCCCCCGCTCTCCCCCCCTTCCTGAGCTGGCTCTCGGGAGCCTGTGGGCTCTGCAGGGGTGGGGCCCTTCCTCCTTTATGGCTGGGAGAAGGGATGAAAGGTCTGCAACTGGTGTGGGGTAACTGTTGCCATCTGTCTGGTGGGACGTCACCAGGGAGGGTCTCACCCATTCACTCCTTCACGCACCGCTGGACTCTGGCCTTTTGTTGGGGGGCTGGGGTGGGGGCTGCTGTGGGCAGCAGTGGGAGGGGGGCCTGTGGGGGGGGAAGGAGCAGATCCTTTGTATTCAGGCCAAACTTTCACCAGGGTCATTTGCATGAAGAGGCTGGGGGGGGCAGGACTCTCACGTGATTGACATCTCCCCATGCCCTGTCACAGAGCCCAGTCCCACGTCCTTAGCCCAACACCTCCCCAAGGTTACCGAGAGAGAGGCCCAGACCTGCTGGCCACGTCTTCAGCCTCCACCTTCCATCCTTTCTTATTCCTTTTGCTAGGTAGACCTGTGTCCTCCTCCATCTCAGCCCCTGTCTTGGAGAAACTGGTATCCTTCCTTCCTGGGTGCCTTACAACAACTCCTCCTCCTTTCTTCTTCTTCTTCTTCTTTTTCTTTTTCTTTTTTTCTTCCTGCTTACTAGGCTGGGCAGGCAGAGGGGCCAAAGCAGGAGAAGGCCTATTAGCCTTCGCCCCCGGCAGCTGAGCCAGGGAAGAAAGGAACTGAATAGAGACAGTTGGGTTGGCAGCCCTCCAGCCCAGCTCCTGCGTTTTGAATAGCACCCCATGCCAGGGCTGTGGCTGGGTGTGGGGGAGGCTTAGGGGCATTTAATTATTTAAAGGTCTCAATAAAAGGAGCTTAGTCTCTGGGGGGGGAGGAGGACGGGCAGATGGTGTACCCCAGGAGCTGAAAAACTGATGCAGGCTGGGGATGGGAAGGGGGAGGGGGGGAGGAAAGAGGAAGAAGGAGAGGGAAGTGAAATCTGGACTGGTCTCCAGAAGTAACCTGAGACCTTAGGTTCTCAGCTTCTTTTTCATGTACCCCTGCCTGCCTCTCCCCAACTTCTGAGTTGGTGTCTGCTCTGTTTTGGAAATAGACCAAAAGCCGTGAAGTATGGTGTGTGTGTGTGTGTGTGTGTGTGTGTGAATACCTCACCTTTCTTCTGTTATTTAGGGATGCTCAAGTGACCAGACTGGACAGATAGAAAGGTAATTTTTTTGCTGGGGGGGGGCGCTGGTCCTAGGGTTTGAACTCAGAGCTGAGCACTGTCTTTGAGCCTCTTTGTGCTCAAGGCTAGTGCTCTCTACCACTTGAGTCACAGTACCACTTCCAGCTTTTTCTTATTGAAGATAAGAGTCTCACGGATTTTTCTGTCTGGGCTGGCTTTCAACTGCAATCCTCAGATCTCAGCCTCCTGAATAGCTAGGATTACAGGTGTGAGCCATGATGCCTGGCAGATGGAAAGTTGTTTTTTTAAGCTGTCTTCAATATATACTTTTGTGGGAACTTAATATGAAAACCACCATTTTATTTGGTTTCATATATATATATATATATATATATATATATATATATATATATATATATTTTGCAGTGCTGGAGATTGAACCCAGGGCCTTGTGCATGCATACTAGGCAAGCATTCTACCACTGATCTACCCACTCCTGAGCCTGGCATTGGGTAAGGTCGAACAGTCAGTCTGTTGGAAGTCTAGAGAAGGCAGAGCATGGCATAGCAAGCCTTTCTTCAAAGGGCAACTTGTTCTTGACAAGACTGTAGGAGGGGCGCCATCTTGAAGAACAGGACTGGACGGTGTTCGATGGTCAAGCTAAATGGCCAAGAGTCTTGCAGTTTGTATCTCTTGCTTGCTGGGGCCTATTTTCACTCTTAGCCCCTTCAAGTCTGCCCGTCGGGTCACTTGGTCACCAAAGGGACACTGCCAGTTAGTGACAAGATCTTTGCAGCCTCCATGTGAGGTTGTCTCCACCATCGTCCCGTGGCAGCTCTCTCCCGGAGTGCGGGAGAGGGTGGCGTGGCCACTGCCGTGTCGCGGACAGCTATAGTCCCGGCTGCTTGCAATGGGAGCTGCCAGGGAGAGGGGCGGGAGAGGGGACCGGTGGGGCGGTGTGGGCCGGCAGATGTCTGGCTCCCTCCCTTACCAGGATGTGGGCTGAGCCCCGGGCCACCCACCCACCTACAACCCTCAGTCCCCGCCCTCCCCCCCCCAGCAGCTGGCTGGGATTTAATGCCACCAACCCCGTTTGCAAATCTGCTCTCCTCGCTCAGCAACCACACCGGCGCCTGGGCTCCACCCTGTCTGGGGGGCGGGGGAAAGCCACACCTTGGCAACAAGCTTCTGATTGGCTGGCCCCGGAGAGAGCTGGCCAATCACAGATTTCCTGGAGGGGCGGCGTTTGGCCCAGAACTGGGCAGCCGGGGAAGCCCGGGATGGGGTGGGGGCCCGGGGTGGCTCACCAGGGTGCTTTTCTGCAGGACGGGGAGGTGGGGTTGGGGGTGACGGGAAGCAGCTGCAGCAGCGGATCCCTGCCCTCCATCTGCTGCCCGGGATCCCAAGTCCCTAAGGCTTCAGACGTCCCCCGCTTCCCAGGCTTTCTCCCCAGTTGGAGCCCAGCCCTTTCTGGAGCAATCTGGAGGTTCTGGGTTCTTGGCTTTGTAGCTACTCGCCCTGGTCCTCCTTCTAAGACCCTCTGGATTGGGGGCATTTCTCTCCCCAGGTCCTCTCCTTCGCCCCGCTTCCTTTTTTCTGCACTCCGGCGTGTTGGCGCCCTCCTGTGGCAGCCATTCCTCCAGCTCTGGTCTCATCCCGTCGTTTTCCATCGGCCTCATTATCGGCACCAACCTCTGCCCTCCAAAGGAGAACACAGATTGTGAACTTCGTAGAAGGTGCCCTGTGTAACGTTGTCCTCTGGTCTCCTTGCACCTAGATAGGCTCAGAATTCAGCATAAGCCTGGGGAGGTACCAGGATTGGCCAGCAGTCTCTGTCACTTACTACTGGCTGTTACCTTGGGCAGTTAACTTCGCTGAGCCTTGGGTTTTGTTTGTTTGTTTTTCCTATAAACATATGAGTGATAAATAATACCTCTGTGCGAGAGAGAGTCGATCACTGGATCACTTGGCTGCCCAGCATGGAGGAACATTGGAGGACCTGTCAACAGATCACCACTCAAAATCTCAAGTATGGCTTCTTTCCACAGTGAAGTTGAAAGACTGGAATTCGAAGACCATCTGTATAAAAACACTTGGACCTCAGAGAAGTTACTGAAAAAGGAGGGCCAGGCGCGGTGGCTCACCCCCTCCTAGCTACTCAGGTGACTGAGATCTGAGAATCTCAGTTCCAGCCTGTGAGTCTCTTATCTCCAATTAACCACCAGAAAACCATAAGTGGAGCTGTGGCTCAAAGTGGTAGAGCACTAGCCTTGAATGAAATCGCTCAGGAACAGTGCTCAGGCCCTGAGTTCAAGTCCCATGGTCGACAAGAAGAAGGAAAAGGAGAAAAGGAGGAGGAGGAACAATGTGTTAGTATGTGTTAAATCTGTAGGGCAAAAACATGCCTCTTGTTATAGTTCTTTCTGCACTTCATTGTAGGCTTGAACTAGCTCTTAACAATAGGAATAATAATAATGGGAAGATGTGGGGTGTTTTCTGTCTATGCACACCCGTCAGGAGGTCCCCCTCTTTCTCAGGCAATATCTGTGGATCATTGTCTTGCTGGGTGTTCTCTACCTGGGCAGCCTGCGGCAGTGGGGCCTGGGCTTGAGCACTTGGTTCAAATAACATCCCAAGGCCCTGGGAACACCCATCTGGCATCCTCTATGAAGCCTCTCCATCTGCCTTACTTCGCAAAGTCCCTGTGAGATGGAGTTGTTGGTTGAACAGTATCTCCTCAAACCCATAGCTCTACTTCCAGCTTTTATGCTGGTTAATTGGAGGTAAAAGTCTCTCAGTTTTGACCCTCAGATCTGTTCTTCTTGAGTAGCTAGGATGACAGGTGTAAGCCCCCACCCCCAGTATGATCTTATTTGTAAACAGGATCTTTGTAAACGTAATTATCCAGGCTCAAGATGAGATCATAACAACTGAGGGAAGGGCTTAAATCCAATGAATAACTTCCTTGTGAGAAGAGATTACCCAGGGAGCCGAAGGGAAGGTGGCCACGTGAAGATGGGGGCAGAGATTAGAGTGATACTCCTTCTAGCCAAGAACACCAGGAGACACGAGGAGGCAGGCAAGGCTTCTTCCTATAGCCTTCAGAGACAAGCATGGCTCGGCCAGCACCTTGAGTTTTGGGCCTAAGCCTCCAGGGCAAGGCAGAGCCTCAGCTTTGAAAATTGTTCTTAGCCCCCTGGTCTGTGGGTATTTTGTGAGGAACCTCTCTGTCTTAGAACACTCACACATTATTCTGCAGATTTGAAACTTGTTTCAAAGCAGCGCCAGCTTTCACCACAATAAAGTATTTGTGGATCAAGAGGAAGCTGGCATTTGTGTGAAGTCTGTCCCCATGTTTACACAGACACTCTATCCCTCCTCTGGGCTTTCTCTCACCCAGCTCCACAGCTGTCATGGTGGCTGGTGGACGGACAAATAAACCTCCTCAACCCCCGCCCCCCTCGTGCAGATTTCCTGAAAATCTGCCATTTGGTTGGGTTCTCAGCATTTGGGTCCTCCATTTATGATGGGGCCTGCCCAGCACCTGAGAGACAGAGCCCGACGCCTGCTGTGGAGAGAGTCAGATGCTCATTCCCCATCTCGCTTGCTGGCCGGCCATAGACACATGGCTTGCTTCTGCCTGCTGGACCTGGAATTGGAAGTCTGCAAAGCAAGCGTAAGGGGCAACCTGAAAGATCCCTTTGCTGAGTCCTATGAATTAGCTGAAAGTCCCTCACCCCGAGTCCATGCCTTTGGATCTGAGCTATTCTCTGCTGCAGGCCCTTGGCGATCACCTTGTTACCAGGAGGAAAGAGAAGGTTCGGTGGCAGCCATCTTGTGTGGAAGGCCAACGGCCCCTCAGACAAGCAGTGTCTTCTTTATAACAACTTCTCCAGAACTCCTCCAGGGACAAAAACCAAGCTCATAGGCAACCAGGCCTCATACCTGAGACCTGGGACTGTTTTAGCTCTGCAACCCCTTCCCACGCCCTGTCCTCAAATCCTAGTTAATCTGAGCCAATGTCTGAAGATGGCCGGCTGAAGTGCTGTCTTCCTATGGCTGCCATGTCATAAATCTCCCTTCTCTGTCTGTGCATTCCCAGGTCTCTTTATTTGCCATGGGGAGATGGGGGGGAGGGGGCAGTGGCTGGACCTAACCTGAAATTCCTGGACTTTGGGCCAAGTCTAAAAACCTAGTTTCACAAGGCCTTGCAGACCGTCCTGGTGGGTGCTATGTGCTTCTCAGGGATCACCTCTGTGCTCGGCTGCATTGGGGGGGGGGGTTCTCGTGGCTCAACCTTGGCATTGTTTCTGCCCACATGCCCTTCCGACTGAGATTCTGTGAGCACCCCTCTTTCAAGAAACAATTAACAAACACATGAATTTGCTTTCTGCATAAATCAGCTAACTTCATTCTCTGTGTGGAGCACCCTGAGCATTGGGTCTGACACTCGACTCCTCCCGCCATCTAGTGGTCTTACCGGAAAACGGTCCTCGTTGATGGTTCGTCTCAGACTTGTCAGGGCACAAATCTCAGAAAATACTGCTTTATAGTCCCATAAAGATATAGGTGTATTTTGAAATGTGTCATATTTTTCTTTGGCTCAGAAACATGCTCAGTGAGATGTTTGCATTGCTTTCTTTTTTGTGGAGCTGCTGGGACTTGAACTCAGGGCCTTATACTCTGTCTTGTTTTTGTTTTTTGTTTTTTTCTCTTTGCTCATGGCTCTCTACCCTTTGAGCCACACCTCCAGTTCTAGCTTTTTGCTGGTTAATTGAAAGTCTCTTAGATTTGTCTGCCCCAGCTGGCTTTGAACCACAGACTTCAGATCTCAGCCTCCTTTTCTAGGATTGCAGGTGTGAGCCACTGGTCCCTGACTCATTATACTTTTCAGGTGCCTCTTTGTCTGGGAGTCTCCACCTGGGAGAATGGACCAGGAAATAGCACCTAACTAAAAGTCCTCAGGGCTGTGCAGGGCCCATTCCCATGAGACCATAACTATACCCCTCTGAGCCAGCTGCTGGGCCCCTCACCTACGGCCTACATAGATCTGGTGTGATGTGGAGCCTGGGTTTCTGGCTCCTGCGATAGCCTGCCATAGTTGGCTCTTCTCGCCGTTTCTGGAACTGCTTCCAAGTCTGGCGCTCATGGTAAGATTCTGTTATTGTCTCAGCCTGTCTTCAGAGTCCAATTTTGCCAAGACCTCAGGCTCCACACAGCATCTGTTCAGGGCCCTGCCTGCATGGAGGGTTAGAAGCAAGGGGAGAACGCCAGGGCAAGCCAGGTGGTTGTTTTTCTGCACCTGATAGATTTTAAAGAAGGTTTAAGACTCAACTTACCCTCAGCTTTCCACGACCGTGTGTGTGTGTGTGTGTGTGTGTGTGTGTGTGTGTGTGTAGGTGGGTCTTGTGGTGTCTCTGACCCACTTCCTGTTATTATTTCCTA